AGGTAGTGGACAGCCGGCAGCCCTTTTGCAACAGAAATCTCTGACAAGGAGGAGCTGGTCACAGCCTTTGTTAACTGAAGACTGGACTGACGCAGGCACATTTCTAAGAGAATGTTTGACAATGTCAAATGTGTGTGAGGAAAGAAGCCTGATATTGGAGACTAAGCTATTCGTGAGTCAGAGGTAAAGAGAGGAAAGTTTTTAATTACCCTGGAATGCCTTCTGTCATTTGAAACTCTCTGGATTACACAGCTTCTAAGTAGTCAGATGGTAAGCCAAGCCTATGGAGTGGCTTTCAACCTCAGAGTGAACAAATGAGCACAGGCCATTTAGAGAAAGCAAGGAGGACAGAAGGGATTTTCCATGACACAAACAGAAAACAAAGCGTATTAAAATGAAGAGAGTAGCAATGACAAGATGAAGTAATATTAATGGACTAACAGTTCAGTTAAGGCTTTCCTTGGGATTCTTGTGATCCTTGTGAGTTTAGCAAGTATAAACATCAGAGAAAGTTCTAAGTCATGTGAAATATTTCAAGGTCAAGTACAAAAAAAAAATCCATTTGTCTTCCCAATTCCTATATTCTTATATTCCTTGTGTTGCTTTATATTTTTTATTTTAAAGTTTAATAAGCCAATATTTCTTCTTTCTAGACCTAACTTTAAAAATTATTTATATAAGAGGAACAAACTTAGTAAATTTCACTATACAAATTGAGGACCACTGTGATACCTCTAATCCTACCCTTCCATATTCGCTTGTTTCACAATCAGCATCCTTACTCTTTTTCATTGAAGTGTCTATAATGACATGCTCTTAGTTTGTGTCATAATCACAGCCTTGATACTCGGGTAAAAATTCAACAAATAACAGGCAAAAATAAATGTTCCTCAGGAGAGTAGATCAAGGCTATAAAAATAATTAAATCTCAAAATGTCAATTTTGCTCAAATAGAATCCATTTTTGTACTCTGAGATCTGTTTTCCACAGTTTAAGGAAAATATATTTCTCCTTTGATGACTAGCTTCGTTTACTAAGCATAATGATTGGTAGTTGTATTCATCTTGTTACAAAAGGTGGGATTTCTTTCTCTTTCTTTCTTAACAGCCTCTCTTACAAAATGTAAGGTTAAACTTCTACACATTTTTCTCTTGCAAGCCAATTCAACTGAGGCACGGAATCAGTAGCTTATACTTTGCTTACATTTATGAGTTTCTCTCAATTTTTTTTTAAACCATTCTGGCTGCTATTTATTTTTGTGTCCTATTAAAGTTAATCTGAACTTTTAAATGGAAGTTGCACCAATTACTATTTTAAGAATAGCTTCAAAATTTACCTGTACTATATTTTAGTGTTCTATATTGTACAAATATGTATTTACTATATCATTTATGTGAGGAATTTATGCACATGAATTGAATGAGTAATTTGTACCTAAATATTAAGAGACAGAGACATTGAGAAGCAAACTTTCAATTTGTTTTTCTCAAATATATCCATTACTTGAGAAAATATTCATTCCTAATTGTGCCTTTTCTTGCCATACTGCAGTGTATAAACAAACGTGTCACTTAGTAAGAGAATGCCATGTAATGTTAATAATGTTTACTTTATTTTATTATTATTTGGTGTCAACCAAAGTCACTAAAGTTTTCCTGCTTATCTCCTGAATACTTACATGTGTTGGGTTTCAGGATGGACAAGAATACCTTGCTCATAGACAAATATAGTAGATATCTTCCCCATTAGTTTATGATAACAACAGACAGGGAAGCAAGTTAAAAATACTCTAAGGATTAATTCTTTTAATCTGTTTAACATCAAAAGGGATATTTACATGTACAGACAAGATGTAGAGGCAACTTCACTTGAAAGTAACTTTTAACACAGTGAATTTTCCTGGTTTATCATAGACTTATATGGACTAGGTCACTTACTGATGTCCTATTTTCATAAATGCCCTTGTAGGCAGACCTTTGTTAAGTCTACCAATGCTGATGATAGTAAAATGGAAATTGTGAGATCATATTAGAATTCAGAGGAGAGAGAATTACTCTTTTTCAGTCATATTGGAAGAGCCCAGTTTATGTTTAGCATTTCTTTAAAGTGGATACATTTGAAAGAAGAGGGATAAATGTATAGTTTGTGATGATTTGAACATTTTTCCAGACCCTGAAAAAGGTCTTCAAGTAACTTATAGTGGGAAGCATTCTAATTTATCTATGTTTATTAAGATTTATTAATTCTAGAATAATTTTTATCCTCTTTCTTCTGCTAGTATGAATGGACTTAGTGATTGGAAGCTTAAAAATAACACCAAACACTGCAAATTTAGTATTCTTGCTATGTAAACTAATTTCAAGTTTTTACTGAATATGAGTTTAAACCTGAATTTTTTCTTTAAATAAGATAGATTTTTTGTTGTTGTTGCTCACTAAATTAGCAGTTTTATTTAGTCCTAACCCTTTACATTCTTAGTAAATATTACAATATGTTACTTCTTCAGTTAATGGGAGTGAATAATTGTGGGAGTGACTGGTGAGAGCAGATATAAAGTGCTTTGATATGTTAAAATTGAAAGCACTGGGAGTTATTAAGCAGAGCTGCTTTTTGTTTTTGTTTTTTTATTTTTAAATAGTATTATGGCTTTTTGATACAGTTGCATAGGCCCTGGGATTTCCCTCAAGTTCCCCCATATCCTTACAACAGTACAGTTCTCATGAATAGTCATAAGTCCATCTTTGTGGGCATGAACAGTGGCAGAGAGTCCAGCATCTTTTTGTTATGCCACATCCAACAGTTTCACTGGGAGTCGATCTCTAATCCAGAAGTAGAGATGCACACTGAGTTATATCCTCACATCTGGACATAACAGTCTCCATTACACAGTCACCATACATCCCCTCAAGCGAAAAACGACAAAAGATTGCTCAGTTAGTCTCTTCCAGACCTAGCTAGTACTCAGTGCAACTATTTCAAGCTGTTGGACCTATCTTGCAGTACTTCCTTTTACTGCAAATCATGGTATAGTCAACTTTCCATATCTGTGGGTTCTGCAGACAACTGACTGGATAAAAATATTTCATAGATTGGTATCGTGGCATATCAACGTTGGTCATTGACATCCCATGTCAGACGGCCATCACATTCAGACCTGAGGGCTTCTCACCCAGCTTCATATCAAGGCACCTGATCGCCATAGTGTTTGAAGCCTTAGCACATATGTTGGAGACCCAGATGCATTTGCTGATTCTTGGCTTTTGCCTGGCCCCAATGCTGGCTGTTGTGTACATCTGATGACTAAACAAGCATATGGAACATCTATCTCTCTGCCCCACACTCTTTTCTCTGATACTCTGCATTTTTCAAGAAAAGAAGACAGGCAGAAGGAAGAAAAAAGAAATCTCTTGAAACATTTAAAAATATTTATGCATATGTTTATCAGCATTGCCTCTAAATAATACAGCATCATAAGCATATACATGTTATTTATATTATATTTAGTTTTATAAGTACACTAAAAGTGAAGTACATGGGAAACTGTGTATAAATGCTATGCAAACCAATGCCATTGTGCATAAAGTACTGCAGCATCCTGCAGGAACCCTGAAGCCAATCCTTTGTGAATAATGAAAAACAACTATATTTACAATGAAGCCTCACCTTTTGAGAAAGGCATCACTTTTTGTCATAATCACGTGGTCCCAGTCCAAGTCCAGGCACGTTGCAAAGATAATGCATGTTGCCTGAAATTATAATCTTTTTGTTAAATTAAACATACTTACTAATTTATTGATGTAGCTGATAAATGAATACTCTCTACTGAGCCAAGAATTGGAGCAGTAAATAAATACACAGCTACTGACCAGGAGGTGATCATTGTCGGTGGAAGCAATTTTGCGCTTCTCTAGCATCTAATCTTAGAGTAAGAAAAGGGATTTGCATAATGATCTACCCAAATTCAGGAGATTCTGAAAAAAACTCCATAAGACTAGAAGATAAACCTACAAGTGTTTATCAGGTTGAATATGAGAGTCCCATAAGTATGTAAATGTAGTCAACCCTTGATACTCAAGTTATTGGTTGGAGTTTATGTGTTTCAATGTCTTTGATTCTCTTCCTCTTTCCAGCCACTGACTATGAAATATTTTTCTGCTCATTAATACTGGAAGGTGAAATTCTTAGCTGCCAATTTAACTAATTGTTCGTCATCACTGTGACCATTTTATTTTTCTTAGTTTGAGAGAGGGAAAAGTTGTAATCTTTTCCAAAAGGGATAGTTGTGAACAAGCTTTATGACACTTTTCCATTTTTTCAATTCTATAGCAAATTCAGGAATTTTGTTTTCAGTGAAGTATTAAAAAAATGAAAAGCATAAAAATCTATCTATTTTGTGTCACAGCAGAACTTCACAATACATATTTCTGATTGGCCCTTTTAAGAAAGTCTTAATCTCCTGCACATGACTACTTAAGAAGCAAGTTTCAATACTTAATAGGCAATATTTTAATTATTGCTTATAAAAATAACTGCATCTGCTAAGTGGCTCTGGACCAATAGGTAATCAAGTTTGAGAAAAAAATCATTTCTCTCATTTGCCGATTACACATTGCAAGTCCATCCCAAAGCCAAATAAGGGAGCAAGGAATGCTCTCCTCACTAGGGCACTAAGAATAAATCTGAGCTATCAACGGATAAGATTACTTTCAACTTTTTACTTCATGTTTTCTGACACAGACCTCAAGATCTGTAATTATCTTTAGAGGAACTGGGGGAGTCTTAGCATATTTTTTTTTTCAGTTCTTTGGGCTTCCCCCTGCCCTATCTGTCTGGCAAGCGAAAGTACTAGTGGTGGTGGTGGTGCAGTGTGTGTATGTAAGAGATAGAGATAGAGAGAGAGAGAGAGAGAGAGAGATTCTCTTGAGTGCCAAAAAAAAGTGCTGAAGAGTCCTAGGAGATCATGCTATTTTTGTTTGAAGCTGATACTTCTAGCTGAGCCACAAGTGCTGCTTGGAAAGGGCTTAGGTTGTTTCCAGGGGGAGAACTCTGCAGAGAAGAGGCAAAGTTCAACAGGACAACAAAGAAGCTGCAGAAACAGCCAGGAAAAGGAAGAGCCCTCACTTTTTATCTCAGAACCTCCAACCAGAGTTCTCTAAAGTAATTCTGCAAAATACAACTTGACTGAAATTTTTTACCTGGGTTTTACTTCACACCACCACCATGACGGAGATCACTGCTGAAGGTATTGCTGCCGTTAGTCAGTAGTATCGAATAGGGGGAAAACGTAAAATTTGACAGCTGCACTCTACGCCCGTTAAAAATGTTGCTGTGGTGTAATTTTGTATTGCAATGGAGAAGTGGATTTGAGAGCTAAGAGGCGGTGTGAGATGAAAAGAGATTTGTCTAGAATGTTGCATGGGGAAGCTATTTTCTACTATAACCAAAGTCCTCGCTAGTTAATAATTGTCTCCCACACCTCTATAAATAGTTACAGAGGTGACTTGATGGCTGCTTTCTTATCTAGCAAAAACAGCAAGGTTTGCGAGGATGGAGCTCATAATAAGCTAAAAAATATTACTTTTAAAGTTCAAATAGAAACATGATTTAAGGAATATTTTTCTTTATGATAATTTTAAATGGAGACCTTAAATGTGTGCTTACTTTCAAACTAGAATATATGAATGCACACATGTATTTGTAAGTTTTACATATAATTTAAAATGAGATTATTATTGATGGTTACCCAGAGACAGAATTCCACAACTTTTCTTTAATTCAATGGAATTATTAAAAACCAAATAATTATGTATCAGAATTTCTTCTCATCCACCTGCTTTTCTTTTCCCACTAAGTGATACATTTCATTCTTTATATTAAAATATTCTCTTTTTTAACATTCACGCTGGAAAACTGCAGCATGAGCTAAAGTCTATAATATTCGTTATTTAACTATGGTGGCAAATTTTATACATACACTCAAACACACATAAGTATTTGTATTTTTTTCTTAGAGGTTTTCTTTTGGAAATGAAAAACCCTTAAGGCTACAACATTTTGAAAATATCTTGTTCTGGTTAGTGTAACAATTTGGGCGGTGTATCTAAAATTTGATCTGACAGCTGGAAGAAAATCAGACAGGTGGTCTTCCTTACAGTTTCTAACTTTAATGTGGTGCTGGTTTGTTTTGAATCTAACTACCGAAAAATAGAATGTGTAGTTTTTGATTTTTTGGATGTAGAAATTAGTGTGGACAGAGGCATTTCTGTTGGAGTTTTCAGCCAAAATTCGTAACCCTAACCTTCCAGAGAGAGAGTCTGTCTGGAATCCCAAAGTAACAATACAAACCACAAAGGGGGTTCTTTGTATTAGGTGTTTTTTTTTTCAGAAACATCATGTGTATCTGTTTATTTAGATCTTAAACAATTCGATTAAGAAACATTATTATCTCCATGTTGTAGAAAATGAAAGCGTAGTTCCGATTTTCTGTGAGTTGTTCAGAACCACAGAAGTGGCAAGATTTGAATCTAGCTTTCTTAAATAAGTCTTTTTTTTCTCCTGAAATGGGATATCTGGTTTAGTTGTTACCAACTTTAGTACAGCATTTGTTAACTAAATATAAACATTAAACATCTGTTTTTTTTTCCTATTCCATAGGTACTCTAGCTCTCGTGAACTTTAGTTGTCTTAAAGAGAGCCATGTGTAAAAACTTCCTGCTTGGCTCTGCACAGGGTATTAGGATCCACACGCATATGCTCTCTACCTCTGCTCCACATGCAGACTGCCAGCTGTCAGGAGGCTGGCTTGCTAAACCATTCTGGCTTGCCTGTAGGGTACGCTAACTTTAGGCTTTATTCAAAAAACTCTTTCAGGAAAATCCTGATTTCGAAATAAAAATCTGATTCTCACCGTATCCCTATGGAGAATATAAAAGAACATTGGGAGTCCTCTTAGAGTAATTAATAAGAATAACTGAATGAGTAATCACATAAGAAGATTAGAGCAGTGCCTGATTCCTCTGTGGTGATGCTTTGCCACACCCTGGCCTTACCACTCATTGGATCTTGGTCATCTAAATATCACTTGGGCATTTCTTCCTTTTCTAGATTTTTTAATAGTAATTCTTAAATGCTAAAAATAACTTCAAGATTCATTCTACATTCATTTTCTGTAGAAGTTTTGTCGCATGCTAATTTACTGTAAACTTTTATTTTGATCCCATGACTCACTTTTTAAATATTTTTTTGTCCATTTTGTGCAGGGACTTTGTACAACCTATTTTCTGAGACTGGAATAGTCTTTTCTCATACTTTTTTGTACAGCCACTTTTGTATATGTTGCTGAAATCAAAGCACTGCCTTAGCAGTCTTCTGCCATCTACAAATTATCCTTTCCATCCACTAACACACATACACGCGCGCGCAAACACACAAATTTTAAAAAACAACTAGAGCTCTGAGTGAGATCTAGTCCACTGTCCTTCACTCAAGTTTTGAATTAGATGAATTTCCCATTAGTAATTTGGGGCAGGTGATTACGTAAAGGAATGGATGACTCTGCAACTCTGAAATGCTCATTGATAATTAGGGGATGTGAGAGACTATGAGTCATAATCCATTCATTTTTTTTTCCCCCACTGTTAACTCAACTGCAATACATAGCATATCAATCAACATTACCATGTTCTTCATGTATAGTTCCCTTGCATGCTCCAATGTAGATTGTTTCATTTTGTGTGGTAAAAGAAATAATGCTATATATACACTTGATTTTCAAGAACATTATAATAGATAAATTAGAACTAGAACAAAGTTGAATTCCAATAAAAATGAGAAAAACAACATCTGTGATTGTGATCATGATCAATCAACTAAATATAATGACAAAAACAACTCAAACTTATTTTGAGGACATAAAATGTCCACCACTGGATTAAGCTTATTACATACTGATTTAATCCTCAGGGCAACCATATGGAATAAATTATCTTACCATTTCTACTTATGGAATAGGAAGATAAAATTTAGATGTTTAACATGACTATGGAATATGCTCAAGTCCACAAGGATATATGTGTTATGGCTTGTATTCACATCTAGGTCTGAACACAGGGTCATGTTGGATATTTTCTCTTGTAATGAGACTTGTAGTGAGCTCATTATCAATTCAGTGCTCATTCAAAGTGTTGCTAATTCCATGCTACATTGCGTTGGTTGGATAAGACCCCAGGCAGGGATAGATTCCAATAGCACTTAGGTTTGGGACTATAAATAGCCTAGAACTTTTCTTTCCACAGTACCAGTTATTCCTAGGAAAGTATCGAAGTTAACTTGCTTGTTATGTCCACAGAAAACTTATAACCGCCCATTTTAACATCTGTTAGACAGAAAATACCAATATTCAAGAATACGGTGAGTGTGTTTAATTGAAAAGTAAAAAAAAAGGTAAAAAATAAAAATGAAATATAAAAAAAGAATTCACATTAATTAAGCACACTGTGTGCATCAGCAAGATGGAGAAGTGAGAAGCAGCAGACCAAGCATGCACCTCCGTGCTTGCATAAGCGAAGTCAAGAGGAGGCTACACTGAATAGCTGGTGATGCTGGGAAGATGAAAGATGTCCCAGGAGGTTCCATTGCTTATCATTATAGCCCATGGTCTCTATTCTCTTAATTAATAAATGCAGTAGGCCACATTCATTGTGTAATTTCAAATTCTAGGAACATTTTTTTATAACGGATACTGAAAATTCAGTGCACTAGGAAGAGGAGGACTATGACAGATTTTCTAATTAAATGTGGAGATCGCACATTGCTGAACTACATAGGCGATTGTTTCCTTATATGGCACTTGAGGGCAATAGATAAACATTTAGAAACCACAGAAAGAAAATCTTCGAGCGAAAGCTGAACAAAAGGTATCAATAAAATATGTGTAGAACTGATACTTCTGACTCAAGCGAGAAATAAGAAGAGAATAAAAATAAAAGAAGGAATAAGGGAAACTAATGCAGACCCTAATATTCAAGAAATAGAGGAAAATAATGATAATTTAAGAAAACATACTCCACTATGTTGTCAGCAAAGTCCAGGCTATCAGTACTGTTACAATGAAAACATATCAGAACTTTCAAATGACAGAGATGCAAGGAAATCTATAGATTAAAACAAAATGTAGTAGAAGAGTAATCCGTCATAATCCATGGTGTTATTTGAAGGTGTTGCAAATCACCTTAAAATATTCCTGTGATTTAATTGGAAATTTGACACTAAACACTGGAAGATATTAGTGAATTGTTGCTGTATTTTTAATGGGACGATCAAGTTATGCTTATGTTTTAAAGCACATTAATATTTAGAGAAATTTAGTAAAATATATGTGATCGAGGTGTGTTGATACTTGCAACTTATTTATTTATTTTAAAGATTTACTTGTTTATTTTTATTGGAAAGTCAGACATACAGAGAGGAAGAGAGAAAGAGAGAAATACCTTGTTTATGCTGATTCACTCTCCAAGTGGCCGCAAAGGCTGGAGCTGGGCTGATCTGATGCCAGAAGCCAGAAGCCTCTTCCAGGTTTTCCAATGCTCTAGGCCAACCTTGACTGCTTTCCCCAGCCGCCAGCAGGGAGCTGAACTGGAAGCAGGGCTGACGGGATTAAAACTGCTGCCCATATGCGATCCTGGTGCATACAAGGCAAACACTTTATCCACTAGGCTACTGCGCTGGGTCTGATAAATATTTTTAAACTTAGACAAAGGGAAAATGGATCAAATATATGTAGAATGTGCCCAGCATGGTCCCCTCATGGCTGAATTCTTGCCTTGCATCTTCTGGGATCTCACATGAATACTGGCGTGTGTTTAGGTTGCTCTGCTCCCCATCCAGCTCCCAGCTTGTGGACTGGGAAACGCAAGGAAGGCTCAAAACCTTGGGTTCCTGCAACCATGTGGGGTACCCAGAAGAAGCTCCTGGCTCCTGGCTTCAGCTCAGTTCCCGTTGAAGCAGCCACGTGGAGAGGGTGAGCCAGTGGATGGAATATCTTTCTCTCTGTATCTCCTTTTCTATATCTGCCTTTCCAGTAAAACATTAAAAAAAAAATTAAGTGTGTGTGTGTGATTGGAATGCCTATTACTTGATTGTTATGGGACTCATGATTAGCACATGGGGTTTCATTATCTTTCTTTTGTAGATATATAAATTGACTCAATACACAGTTGATAGTTTAGTAAAATAACTTTTAAT